CGGCTGCCCCGAGGACGCCTGGAACGGAGGCTGCTCGCTGCTCCTGGAAGGACTCATTCCTGCCGCGCACACATCTCCAGTTAGTGCCAAGTGTGTGTTTTCTGTTCATCCTTGAAGTGGGGGGCGGGGTCTTGCCATTATCTCTTCAAACACACAAGTCTCATAGTTTGGGCCTGTTGTTTGTCTGTGTGTGTTCTGTATGTCTCAGGGTCTTCTCCCTCAATGTAACGCTGGCATCCAGGACTCTGTTGGCCTTCATCTACAAGCAGTCTGCTGGGATCACAGTGTCCATGGAGCTGAAGACGACACGCGCGCGCACACACGTGGACGACCAGGATGTCCAACGTGAGTTTCTCACAAGCCAAGAAGACACGTTTCAAAGTCCTTTATGGTTAAACTAACTAAACAATATGGTACTGAAGTTGTGGGCGGGGTTATTTCATATCACTGATTGTGTTATCATTTCAGTGTCATCCTTTGGCGAGTGAAGCACAAATGTAAATAAAACAATGGTTACATGTCCTCTCCTCATAGACTGGCCTCCTGTCAGTCAGTACTTTTTAAACAATATTTAAAGCAACATTATGTAAGATTTGGCGGTCGTAAATATGGACAGCTGTGATTACATTACTTATGATCGAAAATTAGCGAGCCGACAACTTTGCAAACACAGCCAAACATCGAGCAAGTGCAACAACAACTGACATAGTCAGCTAATATTACTGACAGCAAGAAGGCCAGCTGGCCGTCTGTCTGCAGCCTTTTATTTCAAGCCAAGCATTTACTGTGTGTGTGTTTGCAGTTACCAGTGTGCTTCCTGATATCCTGGATGAGGGGGAACAGTTGGTGAGCCAGTTCTCTCAGCTGTGCGGGAACTTGAATCAAAATGGTTGGACTGTCAGGTAAGGCACGCTCACAGCTAAGTTAATGGATTTCATTAGAATGTGTCTAAATTCTCGGTCTTTCTGCCCCCCTTGTGTGATGTTGTGTGCAGGTGTTTGCAGCTGGAGCTTTGTGACTGTGTTCTTAGAGAAGTTTATTTCAACATCCAGCGGGATGGAGAGCCTCAGGACACACCTTTTAGCTGCAGGGTGGGAGAGATCATGGTGAGACAGTGGGAGCCAGCTGTGTGCAGTGTGCAGTGTACATTGTTGGACCCAGATAAAAAATTCTAATGGTTCTTGTCCCTCATCTTTCTTTTCAAGCTCTTGGATGCAGCCAGTCTGCAGGTCCCCCAGGAGCTGGTTCAGGGCTTGTGCATTTATGACGTGGTGTGGCTGCGTGGTGCCGGTACCTCACCGGAGTCCACCGACCCCTGCCTGCTTCTCAACGCCACTCTGCACTGGAAGTACCCGACCGAGCTCGTCCGCCACTTCAGGGTGTACTGGCAACGGCTGACAGGACCCCATTCCCGAATCCTCCCAGGTCCGCTGGTTCTGGTGGGCCGGGCGTATTCTAATCTTTTTAGAGTAACGGAGCTGGCAGTGCCGGATGCACCCGGCCTGCTGGAGCTGGTGGTGGAGCCGGTGATCAGGAAGGGCTTCCCCGTGCCGGAGAGCCACTGGGGTAGAAGACGACTCCGCTACACAGTGACTTAACTGTTATCAGGCTGCTTCTCCTTAACTGTTTAATAAATAGCGCTGCAGTCAAGGCTCACAACTATCCCAATTTGGAGTTAATAGCGTACAATTTAATTTTCTCAAAATATGTAAAAAGATTGACTACCCCCCCATGGTCTGGTACTTCTATATCTGAATGTTCAGAAGTGGGGCTATTGACCAAACAGCATTATGAACATTACACTGCTCTGCTTGAATGATTCTGTCAAACAAAAGATCCCAACTCAGTGTCCACTTACTTGTTTTTTCTCGAGCTTTTAACCATATGACACAGTTTTCATTGGGGCTGTAGATGAAATCATAACGGCTACAGGTATGGTTCAAATTCCAGAAAAAATAGTAAGTAGGTCTTAAGGGAACAGTCAATGTTTTGGGAAAATAACCTTATGTAAGTTCTTACCAAGAGTTAGATGAGAAGATTGAGACCACGCTCCAGTCAGTTAGCGTAGCTTAGCATAAATACTGGAAACGGGGGAAACAGCTAGTCTTGGTGTTGTTCATACACTTCAGTTTTTGTACTGATTCAACAATTTAGATGGAACATGATAATTAGTGAGTTTTAGAGGTGCTGGGTGGCAGATTTAGTTGCTGTTTCCAGTATCTGTGCTAAGTTAAGCTACGCTAGCTAGCTTGATATTTACTGTACAGACACAAGGGAGGTGTCAATCTTCTCATCTGACTTTTGGTAAGAAAGCAAATAAGAGTGTTTGCCAAAAATGTTGAACTATTCCTTTAAGTTGTGATTGTTTTGTCAAAACTATAATTCCTGAGGAGTGAACTCTCACGCATCACTACATTTTTACGTGAATGTTTAGCAAAGACCTCAGGTGACTTTTGACCTGAGGTCTTTGTGCCACCAAAGATGACACTCCATGTCAGGGAATGAAATGTTGTGACCCAATGATGAAATATTAGATTAGATTAAATTAATACCAGTGATGAAGTTGTCAGATGAAGTATAACCGGGGGTCCCTGGTACGTTCATGAGCATGAGATTTGCACAGTGGAATCATATCAAATGCACTCATATTACATCTCAGGTCTCTCAACCATGCAGTGGAGTCCTTCAGTTGAGGTAGTAATGTGCTGTGTAATCTCTTGTTGAATGCATTTTCCTTTTGATTGGTTCATTTGTGCTTGAGAGGCTGTAATGTCAGCAATGTATCAGGAGTCAGAGGTGTACTCTGTTGGCTGATCATCTCTGAAGGCGGAGCAGATTTAGATTTTTGTAAATCAGCAATCACATATATGAAGTACAAACATGTGATTAACAATATTTACTGTACCAAATATACAAATATATCTCATTCTAATCAATATACTACTATATTTGGTTTATGCAATATTAACATTTTTTATCCAGATTTTTAAAAGCTTTATAAACTGTATGTTAGCAATATGTATGGAACACCAAAAACAACATTTCAGTCATATTTCTACAGTGTTTTACGAGTGCACATTTTGGTGTTCATTGGTTTGAGAGGGACATTCAAAAATCAAACTGAAGGATCATTCTCAAGCTGTACAATGAACTGTAACAGTTGTAAATGTATTTCTCCTGTCATTCTATACCCAGATAGTTTTCATAAGTCTGGATCCAGTTCACACGGTCAACTTGGTGTTAACACTAATTCATTTAGATTCAGTTGTTTTACCTCTGATATGAAGAGTCTGTCTGGTCAGTGTGAAAAAGCATGTTTTTAATGGTGGTAAAAAACAACTACAATACCAAATTAAAGATATTAGTCTGTACATTGACCTCATAATCTGTTTTATTTCAGTGTGCTGGAACTCAACAAACATGTTTCTGTTTAAATACTCGCTGATGGCACTGTTGGTAAAGTGTACACAAAGTGCAATAAATTGTAACAGATTTGTGTCTCATGAATGTGTCTGGTGTGTCTGTCAGTAGGCACAAGACCCACCATGAGGTTGACATTTTTAGTTTGGAGTAAAAGGTCTCAGCACAGATATTCAAAAGGTCCAGTGTGTAACATTTAGGCAGAAATAAAATATAATATTCATATGTTTTTATTAGTGTATAATCAGCTGAAAATAGGAATAATTGTGTTTACCTTGGAATGAGCCTTTTTTAATCTACAAATGCTGTAAGTCACCTTCTGTAAAGTCGGCCATGTTTCACTGCCATGTTTCTACATTTGCCCAGGACAAACCAAATGCTGGCTCTAGATAGGGCACTTTGCCTTTTTCGCTGCCACCGTAGACACTCTACAGAGCCCGTTGTCATTTGCAGATGCAAGTGGTGTTCAGGTAGTTGCAGTCTGCAACTTCACTGCTATGTGCCACTAAATCCTACACACTGGACCTTTAAGAACAGTGTTAGCATGCTGAAACTGCTGTGCCAGATCTGCTAGTGTGGCTGTAGCATCTTTGTAGTGTCAACCTCAAGTACTTCATTTAGTCATCAAAATAGTTGCCTTTGTCCCACAGCATTAAATGCTACAACAAAATGCTCATTTGAAAATGAAAGGACAACCTTTTTTAACTGCACTGGACCAGAGAAGAACCCAAGACAACTTAAAAAACAAAAAACATGTCTTTATTGTTGTTCTGGCTTTACGCAGGTGATTGCTGAAATCAAAGAGAACTGAGATTCGTGATTTGGTTTAGCAGGAAGTGGAATATAAAAAAAGTGATCATTGTGATTGTCAGAGCCATTCCAGCTGGCATCAGGGTGGTGGATCAGTCCTGCTGGATGATCATCTTCAGCATCTGCAAGGCCATAGGCCCCTGGTCTGAGGGAATCTGCAACAACAGAACAAAAAATGATTGTCCTTTTTACTCCACCATACAGGGGTGCTATAGTAAAGACATGCTTGTTTGAATGAAAAATAAAACATAACAAAAAAACGTTACACTGAGCTACATGAGTGGTATTGGACAATTTCCACTTAATTGTCCCCAAGGTGAATTTTGTCTGGTAGCCAGGTAAAAACACCGAACACAGACTTGATAGTAATAAATATACATGACTAAATACAAATATATAAAGAAAGAATATGCTAAAAACATTACTGTAGCTTAGTTACAGCTACACTCAGGCAACAGTAGGTCAGTTTGTGTCAAACAAAGTGAGGGTCTGTGATTTGCTCAGGTAGATTTGGTGCAAATCCAACTATAGATGGCCACACCTCCCAAAAGTGTTTTATCTTGTTTTAAAATCGTGCTTGCAAGCATCACGATACAAATAAGACTTTTATTACTCTTTCAATCACCAATGTTTTTTTAAATTTAACCTCGAAAAACAAAAAGTGACTCATTGTGCAGTGCATAAACACTAGAGCTGTTGTATCTGTGATTCTACATTGCAGTAATTTTACAATCAGCCAGTGTCTCACCATGTGACCGGCTTTAAGGATCCAGTAGAAGGAAAAGTTCTTATAAGTCTTGTAGAAAGCTCCGGTAACGCCCGGGGAGGTGGGGTCATCCAGGGCAGTCCACCTCAGCTTGTTGAATCCGGATAGCCCGTCCCACTTCAGCTGCTTCACCCACAGCTCCTGACCTGAGGCAAGAATAGAAGAATTCATATGGTGCACATACGGGAACTCAATATCTGAATGGGTCTGAGCTGAACAGAAGGTAATACGCCGAGTTTGTTACCCATGGTGTCCACTATCAGATCCAGCTGGCCATTGTAGACAGTGACGTTGACTCCAGCGGTCAGCAGCTGGTCGACGATATCCACCACCGGCCTCATAAAGTCTCCTGCCATGTTGCTGAACACTTGCTCTGCCTGGCCTCCCCAGGTGACATTCTGGGGGATGATGCCCAGTTTCTTCCTGATTGGGCCATTCATCAGCTCGCTCAGTGATTGGCTGTGGAGGGGTCGAATATGGCGACGCATCTGCAGAGCTGGTGGAAAACAAAAAGTGTAAAGAGTGTAAATCTCTTCAAATGATTTACATTTAGACTTGTATTTGCATTTAGAATGAGCACACTCATTCCATGTCACCAAAGTCTTACAGATGAAGTCTTCTCCTGCTGAAGAGGCCAGTTTGTCATCCGGTTCCTGGGTGAGGATGTTGTAGAAGTTGACGCCGTTGGTGTTCTGACATGAAAACCAAAACAAGACTACATCAAAAAACACGATTCCTGCATGCAACCTTATATTATTCTGATACCAATTTTGAAATTCCTTTCAGTGAGTGCACCAATCTGACACCACCCTATTTGTTAGCTTAAAAATTAGACCTTGCTTCTTCCTGTACGCCAGCAAAATCATGACCCCGCGCTATATTAAAACGCCCTGCATATAAAACATGTACCTGCCAGAATCAAACAGTTTGGAGACATGTCCTGTACTGCGGACCTTTCTGTGTTTTACCAACCTGCTCCACCACCGTCTCAGCTACAGACCACAGCTCTGTGGCTTTCTCAAACTGCTGCTGCTCCACGGCTTTCTTCACCGCCTCCGCTGCACTGCTGACCTCCGCCAGGCCGTAATCATCCAGCAGCGACTGCACAGCAATGGGAGCCACAGTCAGATGGAAGGTCCACAGACCAGCTGGACTACAGAATTACAGAAGACATTTGCTCATTGTGTGTTACTTACAGTAGTGTAGAGGTACGGTCCCCAGGTCATGACAGAGTCTGTGGATGAAGCACAAGTCTTTTAGTGAGCAGTTTGGTAACTTCTCCACAAAAATATTTAAAGATAAACCCTGATGTCTCTTATAGAGGCTCTCATAAATGTGGCTAATATAAGTAATAACTACAATAGACTCCTGCTGAGGAATGTACTGAACTCCTTCAAAAATGCTGTGTTCTTTTGCTAAGTGAATTTAGCAAACAGCAGGAATGCAGTTCCTTTTGTTCTTAAATTGGACCTCTTTTGATTGTCACGGTACATTTTACAGACAAATGTGGTAGTCTGAAGGCTTTGCCAATGTGTAATATACTAATCTATCTTGATGTGCAGCATTCCAGTGGGGTTGCAAAAACTTGCACAAAGGCTGTGGTGTAGGTGTGAAGACACTGACCCAGTGGGGAAATCCAGGAATCCCCAAGTGCCACACCAGCAAAGTTGCATTTCACTGTCCCTTGTGCTATGGCCTGGACACACAAGAGACACAAATTGAATCATGTTAGAGTTCTATCACACAGTGGTGCCCTCTGAATATTTTCATCTCAATGAGAAAATGTCTATAAGATGATTAAAAATATCTTATAGTCAAGGAAAAGTAAATCCCAGCTTATTTTAAAGACAACTGAAAAATATTAGACATCTCTGTTAACCATAATCACTTCCAGTACTCCAGAAACACTTGCTGACTTGCAATCAAGCCATAAACTCTTCTTTATGTCCTGGTTTTTTTGCCTACTCATCCATCATATGACCGTTCTTTGGCCTGGGGACTTTCCTATACAAGCTCACATGGACCTGAAGGGGACGTTGTAGAGAGAAGTAGCATTCTGCTGACAGACTGGAAAAGCAGTTAACTCACTCACCTTGGTGAGTTCCAGGGAGATAGCGGCTGCCATCTTCCCTCCATATGACTCAGAGAAGATGTAAAAGGGGACGCCCTGCAGAGAATATGATAACCATCAGTTCAATGATATCACTGGCATGTAGGCTACAGTATATGATTGTTGTTGATGATGTTACATAACAGTGTTGTTAACTGAGGGTTGTGATGTTGTTGATATATACATATTCTTCAGACTAACAGTTTTCCTAAAATTTGATTTTTTTTTAAAGAAATCGCAATATAGCTGCTTGCTCATAGTATCGCGATATATTGAATAGCAACCCCTGTGTTGTAATAAGTATTGTAACGCCAGATTTTTGCCAGTGCACAGCCCTATATGTATGATTAGTGTATGGCTACTGTGAAGCTAACGGACTGTTGTGAGTGTACCTGGAACTCGGCCCTGTCTGTAAAGAAGTGTTTGAGCAGCACCAGCATGTCTGAGGCCACCGTGGCCACGTTGGTAGCATAGGCGTCCGGCCTGTCAGTGTAGCTGAAGCCAGTGCCCACAGGGTTGTCCACGAATAACACACTGGCTGCCTGCACCTGAAAGAGCCAACACACACACAGAATATATCATGGTAACGTGCATTTCCTTCATTTCTTCATTGCTCCAATACATGATCAAGTTACAAGACAAATAGTCTGTGCAAGGTGGCCATTAAAGGATTTCAACACGCCGTGCAGGAAATAACTCAGAGTGAATTAATTACAATTAATTAATTAATTAATTAATTACAGTCCCAACTTGTTCTAACAATTTCTAGCTCTGCACTGCTCCAAAAAACTGTTTCTGATCACTAAACAGCTTGTTGATCAATAGGTCAATCACAATAAAATGCACCCGTCTTACCCAGCTCGTCTTTCTGGGCTCTAGGTCCCTGTTCAAAGGTCCAATCTCATCAAAGTTCCCAAAGCCACTTCCAGATCCTCCTGGTCCACCCTAAAGACACATGGACAAACACCCTCATCATGTTCCAACATTAAGAGCAGAGCTCCCTTTTAATACAACAAAAGCCATATATGCATTTAATAATTCATTATTTCTGCATGTATTGGATAACTAATACAATATTATCCACAACAATATTAAAAATAAGCTTTTATTAAGATTGCTGGTTTAATTTGAAACTCATGCAGTTGTCTCCTTGAGTTAAAGACACCTTGGTGGATTAGTCACTTCCTCCTCTGCAGTTGAAAATAGAAGCAACACTGCTGTTACTCAGTCACACCACGCTTTTTTCCCCCAGTTATCTGGTGATTTGAACCAGCCACATTCCAGTTGTCACCCAGATTGTTTGAACAGACCATATCAATGTTTAAAGGTTTCAGCTTAAGGTCCCCCTCCAGTCAGAAATCTGTTTGTCAGTCTGACACTGGAAGGATGTTTTCACATCCATCTGCTGAAAGGGGAAAGTTTCTCTGTGCTCATTGAACATCTGATTTTAAGGGGCGGACAGGTCCAGTGTGTAACTTGTACAGTGTGATGTAGAAACTTGAAGCCACCAGTGCACATTCACTGAGAATGGACTTTACAGTGAAGTAGGAGACATCTTGTGTCCAGCAGCAAAACATTTGCATATTCATAGATTCTGGAATTAAGGGTTTTAAT